GTTTGCTTCCATTGGCAGCTCATGTGTTTGTAACAATCAACTCTACGAAGCCTTAGGTGAGCTATGAATTCTTATTAAGACCTTTAGCTTGAGAATCCTAGTTTCCGCTATGATAAGTTTGAATACGGTTTCTCTCTCTACTTGAGGAAAGAGATTTTGCTGTAGTGCACTTTCGCATCAGCCAACTTTCTACACCCTCAAATCAAAAGTAGAACTATTGATGCTGTTTGTGAGATGCTTCAACCTTAGATTCCAGGAATTGTAAATTGACGAAAATAGTCAACCCCGTGAGTCAACGAAAGAAATGAGAACAATACGGAAATTTCTCCACCTTGCAAACCAAGCGACACTTAACCGAAAGCGAAAGACTCCCCGAATCAGTTTGAGAACATCCATTGCTCATTAAATACGAAAGATCGTTCGCTTATTCATTCAGATATCTCACTTCACTGAGTATCATGGAAACAATGAGGGCCACTAGGGACAATACTTTTCATAGTAATTGGTGTCACCCTCTTAAAATAAAGGTTATATCAATATCCCAGTTTACATAGCCTTGTATAAACTCGAGAGAGTGTTTGTGAAACTCAATAAGACAGTTTTGCAACGGGGGACGAAGTCGGGAGTAGGAAATGGAACTTTTCAGAAGTTTCCCAACGTCCTCGAGTCTTCATTTCAAGCTGTGCAAATACAGTAACTGTCATGAACTAAATCAGTTTTTTACAGATTTTCATTGTCAACGGTCAACCTGTCTATTTTAAAGAGAGATCATGACGAATCGTATGGAAATCGCATCTGGCAAAAGCTAAAGACAAGACTAACAAAGTTTAAGCTTTCTTAGGCCTAGTTCAAACGTCGAACTTTTAAGAGACAAACTAAACTCTAATATTTGGGTCGACCTAAATTGAGTTAGATCGTCTTTTGGTTCAGACATCGAACTTAGGACGCGTCGAACCAATCAACTGAATCCGACCAAAAATTTTCTCCCGAACAAGGCCAAATATACAATTTCATACAAATTTTTAATTTGTTAGTTTAGTTCGTGTGCGCAAAATCGACATTTGTCCTGGGGAAGAACTTCAGACATTTCTATCTGTCTGAAGCAGACGGATAGAACGTGTTGGACAATCCAAACTCATTCAGACGAACTCAAATGAGCCCGAGACGTCGAACTTTTCATGAACTGAACTCACTAAGTTTGGTTTGTCTCATGAAAAGTTCGACGTTTGCCCAAGGCCTAAAAGAAAGTTTCATCTTTTGAAAAGGGCTTATTAAAGCGCCTTTTAACGTTTTGAAGAAGTTTAGCAGTCTAGTTTCAAGTACTAATTAGGTGTGTAAAATCAATCACCAGCTGAATCGCTTTCAGCTGGTCGAACTGAACGTGGGCGACGAAGAGTTTTATTTCACTTTTTCTAAGAAACTTCGTTTTCGATAACTCAAGCGAACTGTAAAGAAACGTTAGAATCATTTTAACGTTTCTTTACAGTTCGCCTAAATGTTTTAGGCGATTGAAAACATTTTCCGTATTTGCATAGCAGAAAATAACGCGAGACAGCAGCTGGGAGAATATGTACCAGTCAATTCGAAAACCGCCCATCCCTCCCCCCGCCCCAGGCATACCCCCAGCATTTGACTGGAGTTTTACTCCGAGCAAAGGAGAATTTGACCTAAAATGGGGCCCGCGCAGTCGGGTATTTGACTTTTGTGTCAAAACGCTGATCAGCGTCGCAACCAAAAGGATTTCGTAATTCTCTCTGCATTTAGCGTGTGCACCCCTTTCATGGGTCCTTTGAAAAAGCCTCTTAAATGTCAGCTTTCAGGAATGGACAACTTTTATATAAATGAATAAACTTCTGTAAGACGGCTTTCCGAGATTTAAGATGTTTCGGTCACGGTTGTCTTTACTAGGATCCTGGTAGGATACAGTGTATTCACATTTGGTTTTGACTCATGGGAAAATTTTTGAATAGTCGCTGGTGCACGTGGGTGGCGTATTTGAAGCGCTAGCGGTTTTGGAATTGACTAGTACATAATCAAGCCCGAGACTATGTCGGGGGGTTGTACTGAGAACTTTAAATTGATTTATTCATGCAAAGCAGACTTTTTCTTAGAATCGCTTGCATAATTTAAATTTTACTACCACAAAAGTATGCTAGTGAGATTAACAAGATTATCAACCAATCAGGAGGAGATCATAGTGCTTGCTATAACATTCACGAAGGCGTCGTTGGCTCTCATCAATAGCTCACGTTTAATCACAATTTATCTTATAAAATAATCAGTTCCACTCCAACTTTCAATGCAAGAAATGCCCAGGCCAAACGTCTACCCTATTCTCGAAAAAACACTGAGAATTTTTTTTTTCAAGGACCTACGTTTTTTAATTCACTTGACAACGAAATCATCAGCTCTCGAACCATTTCCTCCTTCTCGCTCCTTTATACAAGCAAAACTGAAATATGCGTGTCTCGAGTAGATTCTTCCTCTCGTGTTTGTCGTATATCTTTTTTCCCTCTCTCTCCACGAGAATATTTGCTTCTAACCATAATTTACCTTTCACCTTTTGCAAATAATAGTTTTTTTTCTCAATATCACTTTGAATCATTGAATCACTGTTTTCAAGTGGTTAGAAATAATTCGCCCTATAAGCCAAAGCGACCTTTTCATAGACAATTGCTACATTTTCCATCTTTTACTAAAATTATGGGTTCTCATGTTAATCTGACCATTTCTGAAAAATGAGAGTCAAAATTTTAATTTTGTCTTTATAGAGGCTTGTGAGGAAAAGGTATCAAACTTTGGTTGCCATTAAGATTTAACTCGCTAATGATGGACTTCTTGGACCCGTGCTGAAGGATTATTTGTTCTGAGTTGAGAATAGACACGTGCCTTCGCAACCTCATAATTTGGCGCCTAAAGAAGAGGTAAGCGGAAGGATGACTTCACAACTATTGCAAATTTAATCCTTTTATGGTGGCTTTTGAAAGAGGAAACTTTATTACTTAAGTACATGTTGATTGTCCACCCTTTTTCCTATAAGAACATCCAATTTTAAGAATGAGGCTGGACCGTGCTAAACATTTATATTTGATGGCAATCAAACTGCATCAGAAAAAACATATTTAAGACGTTCCCTAAAATAATTTGTAAAAATGAGAGACTGTAGGCCTGCTCGACCTTCACCTCTTCTTTGAAAGGAGGTCAGGAATTCGCCGGAGGAGCAACGGTTTTGACCGAACTTCCTGTGTCACGCTATGTTCTAGAAAGAGCGGATAATAGGGCAGAGAGGGAATCTTAGGGGGTTGGCCGGGATATGTGAATTTCAATAAGGGTATTTGAAAGAGGTTGTAAATAAACGGAAGTGTAATTACTGAGACGTCCGCACATTTGAATAGGTTCTTTGGAACGTAAACAAGTCTACGCTGCGACTTCCTCAAGGCAAAGAATGCAGAATATTTTAATGGCGACTGTTGAATTCTCTTTAAACAACGCGGAACAAAAGTTTGCGGACCTCTGCGGGAAACAAATTCCTGATAATTTCAAGCGTTTGATTTGACAGGTGAAATAAAAATATCCCAAGGGCTAAACTGGGCGTTTCCCTCTCTGTCCCATTATTCTCTCTCGGGTCTATTAAAGGTAAAGATAATATACACTTAATGTCGGATCCCAAGGGAAACAGGACTCGAGAGAAAACAAAACTAACTGGTTTCCCAAGGGACCTGACATTAAGTGTTTTGTTATATTTCTAGATTTTCACTTCAACGTACTTCAACAGCAACAAAAAAGATTACGTTTAAGCGGAGCGAATCAAAACAGTCGACTCGGTACTTATAAGAACACAAATTTAATTCCAAAACCACTGATTGAATGATTTACAAAGCATACTTTCCTTATATCATCTGCATCTTTTTCCTCCACTAGCTGCTGTTTCTCTTCTCGGATAACTTTAAAAATCGTTGCTTTTTAGCTTTAGGCTTCATATTTGTGTTGAAACATGAACCTGTTGTGTTCATTACGAAAAAGAAAACTGGCAGTGCTTTTCCCGCCTTCCGTCACGCCACTTTTCCACCATGCTTTGATCACGTGCTGTAATGTATCCCGAGAGGGGGTACATTGCTTAACAGGATCGGCTTACATTTGATTTTAGTCAAGGCCATGTGACCAAGAATCAGCCAATTGCTGTCCCTGTTTAGTAGAGTGAAAGTCTAGAAATATAACAGGATAAATTAACTAAGATAACTTTATTTTTTCTCTTCAGGATATCTCAAATGATAAAAACGTTTTACAAAATCATTGTACTTACAAATTTATTTCATTCCTAGCCTCAACCTTCTTGTAAAAAGGTTCTTATAAAATAAGATTGTATAGTTACTTTAGAACAGTTTGAATAGTGTTTATGACTAGATTAAGTGGTAAAAGTGGCACCGCGGACCTTGATCAAGAAAACTTCAAAGCTTTTCGTTCCCTTTCACTTCAATGACGGTCAAGCGTTCTTCAACGTTTTTACCTTTCAGCGATAAAATGATTACTTACTCCAGAACGTGATGGAAATTATGCTTCACTAGTCATCGTCTGAAATAAAACTTATGCTCATTGTGTGACTATTAGAATTTCGTTCAGTCATAGTTTGCGTAAGTTTGGAAAAGCCGACCGACCAATCTACGGACCAACCAAAATTCAACCCCCTTAAATTCGAATCACGAGTTGAAAACTGTTCCAATGCATGTCAGAACTGTTCCTTGCTTATAGGACGTTTTATTGATATGCACTAATAAACACGACAATAGCCCAGAATTAGTTTCAGGTAAGGATAACAAACCAATTATAAGTTGATCCTGATGCTGGTTTCGCCACCCAACACCTGCCTGGTTCATTAGATTGTTACAATAGCCGATAACACAGTTTTTACCTCATTCCATGGCTCATTTAGTACTGTTCTGTTCTCTGTTTGAACTTGAGTGAAAAATATCAAAGCTTTTCTTATTGCAGAGAGAGGAAATATGGAATATTTAACTGGAATCCTGCTTGATGTCTCCGGTTCCATGGGTCGTTACATTAAAAGGGATACTGATGATGATGGAGGACCATCCCCATGGGCTCGCTCGATCTTTGAGGTTATTGACAACCTTATCAAATACGATGTTTCTTCTGAAAACCATGTATTTGCAATGGGCGTTGGGGCTTGTACTGGTGAGGACATTTTTGATATCATAGGAACTCTTAAACAGATTCAGAATGAAGACAAAAAAACTGAGAATGATGTTCAGGGGCCTGCTGCTAGTTGGCAAATAAAGAAGATTTTCGAAATATTAAAAAGATCCGGCGCAAGAACTGTTGACAAATGGGCAGCGGAAGAAGATGCCATCATGGCATTGGAATATAGAGAGGCTGATTTGCTACTGAGCAAATTTGAATCTGACAAGTCGTTTCTTAAAAAATTTGTTGAAGATTTCCTACCAGAAGCTTGCCGGGATTGGCCTGAAAGCCCCCTGGAGGACATGATAGGCCTTTCTTATCTTAAAAGAGCAGCGCAAAGTGCGTATGCGTCAGTGGCAACCACCTTTGTAAGAGCAACAGTTGCAGACATCAGGGAAGTAGTTAATAAGGCTAAGCCTTATTTGCTGAAAGAAGCGAAAGAAAAAGTAGCTCTGTTGGGTGTGACTGTTAATTCCATTTCCAATGTTCAAGATGCCTCAAATGTTCTTCATGGGTGTGTCGATGAAAAAGAACTCTCCCCAAAAAGGAGTCAGGAATTATTGAAAAGCGTCGAGCCTTACATTTACGGTGGAACGCCTTTATTTCAGTCGATTGAGAAGGCGATAAAACTTTTTCAAGCCTCTAGGTTTTCCAGCCACAAAAAGTTGCTTTTCATCTTGTCAGACGGAAGTCCCTCAGATGGACATGCTAGTGATCGTACAAGAATAGATCGAGTGGTCTGTGACTTAAACACAGCAGGTGTGACCGTAGTGAGCTGCTTTGTCACTGACTCTACGCAGATTGACCCCAAACGACTCTACAGCAAAGAAGGACCTGACTGGGATCCCGGTGCAAAGTTCCTGTTCTCATTGAGCTCAAAGAAGCCCACGCAATCGCTACCACGCACTATGTTTGTTAAACGTGATTGGACCATCGATATCACCAACAATGAAACACACTTGTTCTTGCAGGTCAATCATCCAGACAACTTGCGAGAGGCTTGCCAAGTGGCACGTGATGTCGTTTATTCTCAAGACGCGCTATCCGAAATGCTTGCAGTCGTCGACTTAGATCTCTACATTAACCAACAATTAGAGGGCTATGAAGCAAAATTAAAGCAAGAAGGGGCGACCTGCTATGCAAATGCAGCTGCGACAATTCTCCATTTGTCCATGAAACGAATTCTTGGACGCGAAGGCGAATGTCCAGATTTCTACAAGTTAAGAGAAGAATTTACCAATCGTTTTGGATCTAGTGACGGAGCCAATACCTTCCATGTGCTGCAGAAGATGTGCCCAAAGTACCGTATGCGGTGCCAGGAAGTTGACCTCAAAGGTGCCATGGAAGCGATCACTTCAAGTCGCCCAGTAGTGGCAACATTTCGGCTCACTGACCCTGAATGGAAACGTTTTGGAAACTTCTTTCGAACAAACCCAAAAGGTATTTTGACGAAGGCGGAGATCGACATAGCAGCCCGTCTTTCCAATACTCCTACCATTGGCCATGCAGTTGTGTTGACCAGTGTCGACAGCCAGTGTCTACAACTGCTAAATTCTTGGGGAGATTCCTGGGGAAACAAAGGATTTCTCAAAGTGCAGAACGCAGACGTTCTTGGATTGGAATTTATTGACGTTTTCTGTGAAAAAGAAGATTTGACAGTAGAAGAAAAATCGAGTTACGAGAACCATGGATCCGAAGTTGCCAGAAAATTAATGAAAGATTTGCCGAGTCTTCAGCGAGCTGAATTCAAGTGCCCCAAATGCAGCAAGACATCACCAGTGATGGAGTTTACCGGAACTTTGATATGCGCAAAGTGCCCCAAATGTCGCAATGAGTTCTATTCAAAAAATGCTGAGGAAGGGAACATTTTGGTTCTTAATCTTTATCTTACCTCTTTAATCAGATAGAAAAAATTATCCTTTCTTTAAAATGGAAGAGATTAACTCCTCTATAGTAAGGTATGAGGAGGTTAGACATAAGCTTCATTCACACCGAAGCTTATTAAACATGTTTAAAAGATGTTTAGTTCAACACAGTTGAATTTTCTTTCCTTCATAAAGGCTGCTAACTAACTTAAATTGACTGCAAACGCCTTGCAAACTACAAAACATGTTGATTTTCATTTGCATCCTGTGTGAAAACCTGTGTGTTCCAGTTTTCCATGTCTGTTTTTCTTTTTCTTTTTTTTTTTTTTAAAAAAAAGGAAAAGCCTGGTTTTATTAAATACGTTGAGTTGGTGTGTATTGGGCTATAGATAACCATCGAAAAAATTCGAGATTTCAGTTGTTTAACAAGTTTAGTGCATAGAGGTCGAATGATTTTAATTTTGATAAGTAAGCTAGTCTCAGTCGGAATTGTCGGGACACTTTACGGTTTTCTTACCCTACCAATTTTGATGTGCTTGATTTGTAGAGTGAGCTGCGATAAATTAAAACTACATTGAAAGGATGAGGAGAAAAACAACGTTTGGTCATGGCGTCCCAACTTTTTTTGTCTGAGACTTTAGTTCCCGTTTAGGTATGCTGGAAGACCCTTTCGTTAATCAAACAAATAACGGGAAAAAATCCCATAAGCTGCGTGGCACTTTAAAACGTAAGAAAAGGAATGTTCAATGGAAAAAATAGTAATGAACGAATTAAAAGTGCCGTCTATATAGTAATAATAACAATGACTTTATTAACGAGTCAAGCAAAAATCTAGCAGAGGGGATTCCCCACTGCTAATAGGGGACATCTAAATTTCTATAAAGTACAAACTAAAAATACAAAACGAATTAATATAGAGTCGAAACTAGAATCTACTAAGAGTTAGAATTAAAAACTACTAATGATAACCAAGAGAGAATGATCTCTCATTTTCTCTTGTGATAACTCACTAACATACATACTACAAAAACTCCATTTATAATTGTCAAAATTTTAAAATCTTGTAATTAAAATCGTAATTAAGAAAATTTAGAATTACGAATTGCAAAGGTAGCAGCCACTACATCCATCTAAAATGTCACTTAAATCAAGACTGCGTGCGGGTCTTAAACTTCTTAAGACTGGCAAAACATCTGTCCTTGCTTCGTATCTTGCTCCAGAGTCTTGGACCTACAATCTCTGACAATCAACTTGGGTCAAACTGCTCTGATACATGTCTTTCTCTCTTCCAATGTTGTTTTGAAATGGTTTTTTGGTGGAATTGTCCAAGTTCGAGGCCAACATTGAGGGGATAGGAAAAAGGAGGTCGAGCACACAATGTCAATGTTATTCCTTCGATTGACCCAAGTTCTAACGTCCCGAATTGTAGGTTCCACTCTCGGCGGAGCTGTTTTCTTTTTCTCAATGTACAATTCTTCTAAGACCTACCGTTTTAGCAAAGCGAGGTGTGGGCCGGAAATCGAAGTTAATTTCTGACAGTAGAATAATCCCGACGACGCCCTAACATTTAGAAGTGGCATAAGTGTGAGGGTTTTTTTATAAAGAGCAACCAAGCTCATGCAGAGACTGGCACTGATTTCAGTGGCGTTGCTAACAATTTCCCAGAGATACACGCAGTTTTCTTAATCAGCCTTACCCCGTCTTCTATTAAACCTTTTTCATGCGGGTGACTTGATTGAATATCCCCTTTTTATTGAATTTTGAGAAAATTCATGAAATAAGAAAGCAAATAAATGCAGGGTCCAGCATGAATTATTTTAGGACTGCTAGTTGCATTGCTTCTTTTCAGTGTAAATATTCCTTATTTTAATCAGTGTTTACTTGAAACTTTCCATGCTTATATGTATCAGGGCTACTTTTTGTTACTAGCATAGCATATTTCAGGTAATACGTATGTCGGCTGTGGAGGAAATCTGTAAAAACGTGTCTTGTTGTTGTTAGTTTTTACACTAGATGAATATTTTTCTTTTCTTGTAATGTAAGTAAACTAACTGTTTAAACAGTTTAAGAAGTTTTGGAATGGGCCCGACCTCGACATATGCGGCTACCTGCCGACAGCCGAATTAACTGTCTCAGCGTTTAATATTTACTAGATGCTAATAACGGTAAAGTAAATTTAATTTTGAGAGTTCTCGTACTTACATACACTTTTCTCCCTGGATCCCAGCCACTTGCTGGAGTAGCCTGAGTATATAACAATTTTGGAAAGTGTCATTTATCCTACCATTTCTTTTGCAATGAGGTGACCGTTCATGAACAATCAAAACGTCCCTCAGCTGCCTTGGGTCAACTCAGAGTTGACAGAACAAGCATTTGTTTGTTCAGAAGAGCACCTTATGTAAAACATACAGAGATATACACAACAAAATACTATGTCGTATAAAACTTTCATACGCAAATGAGTTTGCGATGTTTTTTTTCACACCTGAGAAGTATGGTTCGTCCAATCAGAATCTCAGTCATTCAACGAAAGCATTTGTAGCTATAGAGACTTAAAGCTTACAGAGGAGAGTTTTTCCCGTAGAAAAAAGTTAACGACTATTCGGAAATTGGACAGTACATGGCAATTGCGTATATTTCAAAGTTAAAAGAGGAAAATTGTAGATAACATGCAAAACAACAGTGGAAAGGGAAAAACAGAACGAAACGTAAGATAGAGTTCTACTATTCTGTCTTTTGTTATTCAAACCGAACTTTTCACAAAAATTGCCACTGGTTAGGCATTTGATCTTTACCTGTAGATTCTGAAGACCGAGCTATAAGATAACTTGTCATAAAATTCCTACATTACCTCCTTAATACTCTTAAATGTTTTTAAAAAAATTCTTAATAGTTTTTTAAAATATCATGTAGTTTTCTTTGCCATTTCAAGATGTGTAGCTGCTGTTCTGTTATTTAAGCATTTTGGTAAGAATTAAATTAAAAGGCTTTCAATTTTTTTTATGTCTGAGTATGTATATAGTAAAGATAATGCCACAAGGAAAATACCCTAATTGATTTGGAGCCTTAAAGGAGACGGCAAGCACGTGAAGCACCACTGTTCCCCTAGGGGGTCTCCGAGGCTTCCCTTCCCCCTCCCCCCACCCCTTAAGAGACTTTTCCTTTCTCATTTTTGAGGAAGTAATTTAACTTGCTTTATCGTTCAGGGTTCTCAATTAGAATACGAGTAGTCCCTAACTTTTATCAAAATCAAGCGAACTACTCCAGCGCGCTTGAAATAACCGCGGGAGGAAGGAGAGGTACCCTGGTCCCAGATGTTCTTCTTGATTTTTCTTCACGAAAGAGATCAAGAGTAAGCCGCGAAGCGGCGACAACGAGTCGCGAAAGGGACGAGGAGAGAGAGAAAAACCTCTGGTTACCTTGGCCTCGAATCTCACTTTCATGCAGACGACAGCTGTCAAACGCGTCAAATTGCTAATAAAAGGAGTGACCAATGGCAACTTAGAAACACGTGCTTATCAGCCGCTATTTTTTTAAGTGGGGGTAGACCTGGGGAAATTATGTTATGAACAAACCATCTCCACTTGGGTGGTAAAGAGTGATTTGTTAATCGGGGTCAAGCTAAAGCATGTGTTAACGATGGGCGACAAGAGTCCAGGAATAGGAAGACCACTTTATAAAGAAACCGACATTATTCCAAACGACTGCTGCAGGATTTGCAGAATTTATGTAAAAGTAAGTGGCCGATCTAAAATCAACTTTTTTGGGTATAATAACAAGGATTTTTCACAAACATTGTCATTTGTTCTGTCGGCAGTGTGCCAGCGGGAAGTTGTAAAGTTTGCAAGAGTCTATCAATCGCTCTTATTGCATTGCTTACTTCTGCGGGGCGCGCCGTTCGCGTCGATTCGCGGGCATTCCCTTCAAAATAGTAATATTAATATGTATTCTGGCAATCTGGCTCGCATTTTGGTTTGGCGGCTCCATTTCCTTTTTTTTGTGGAACAAGAACGCTAGGAAGAGTCATGCAGCACAACAAACCCTTAATGTTCGGAATGTACTTTCAGAGGTTTTTGTTGACCCAATAGACCTATTCGGCTAACTCAATGTTGTACCCAATTCAAACCCTTTGGGAATAAAACGTTTTGTTTCAGGAATTTCCATATCATTTAAATATCAATGCCACATTATAATGCAAATGCAATACACAAAGAATCTTATCCCCGGGAGATTTGAATTGGGTACAATATTGAGTTAGCCGAATAGTTCTATGCCAAAAATAACGTTGGTTAGATCTTTTTTGGGCGTCGCTGGAAAATCAAGCTGCACCGAAAATGATTACGTACTTGTACAAAGTTGTATGTTTTTTTTCCTACAAGGAAACTTTCATTCCGTATTCGGAGATTTTTTATTTTGCTGCCCTAAACAAGTTAGTTTATTTAATGGAATGACAGTATTGTAACAGAAAATATACTTTCCATGTCCGGTTGATAAAATTGTGAACACATCCTTTCGACTCAACGCAGCGAACAAAGCTTTCTTTTGTTGTTCAGTGAGACTCAGGAAAGCGCTCATTCTTTCAGGAACACCATCCATGTCAAAATCTCGAAATATGGCGTGCCTTTACGTGCCTTGGTCCCGTGCAAATGTTATTGCGAGTGCAGCATACAAACAATTTTCTTCCCTAGTAGAGAGAGGCAAAATGAGGTGTGAAAATCCTCAGCGTCCCCTCGGTAGTTACAATTAAACGACCCACTCAAATTGGTTTGCGTGTTTGAAAAACTATCAACCAATCAACGCCCGAGGGTCCGATCCTGACCCTGTCGTCTGCATGAAAGTGAGATTCGAGGCCAAAGTAACCAGAGGTTTTTCTCTCTCTTCTCGTCGCTTTTGCGACTCGTTGTCGCCACTTCGCGGCTTGCTGTTGATCTCTTTCGCGAAGAAAAATCAAGAAAAACCTCTGGGACCAGGGTAAAGGAGAGGCGAAACGAGAAGAAACGAGAAGAGGAAAAAATTCACAATTCCCTCCGCGTGTCAGGCCT